AGCAAGTTCTTCTGTGCTGCCTCTGACACCAGCAGAGAGCCAGGTGGGGAGGTTAACTCCAGCTGGGTGAAAGACTGTGCAGGACACCAGAAAGTCATTGCTGGGGGGCGGTGGCGGGGCAGGTAGTGGTCGTCCGAGAACCCAGGGAAGGCAGAGGCACAGAGGACAAGTCTCCATCCCCCACACCTCACCTCATGGTCTTGCAGCTGCTGGACCAGAGAAGTCCCAACAGCTGCCAACATCGTGATGGCCTTGCAGACGGTCCCCTCTGACCTGCCGTCATCCTCGGGATGTGCAGGTCTGGAGTGGGAACCCAGGCACAAGCAGAGAGCTGGGAGGAAAGGAAGGAAAGTGTTTGCTGGCTGCAGGGCTTCGCAGCCCCAGCCAGAGTCCTCTGGGCTGGGTTGTCCCTGCGAAATGCCCAGCTGCCCCACGGCAGGCAGGGAGAGCATGGAGCCAGAGCCCTCTCAGAGCTGCCTTGCAGCAGCAGGAGAGGTGGCAGGGACGCAGCCCCATCACTTGGCTGGGACGGGCATTGTCTCCCGTGGGCACCATTCCCCACCTCCCGTCAGTCCCTCACCTCGCAGCACGCTCATCCTCCTCATGGCTGCAGCAGCAGGCGCACCCAGACAGCAGGCATGCTGGGGACCAGGCGTGAGGGCACCCTGGGCACCTCCGCAAGCCCAGAAATGCAGGATATTCCCATTCTCCATTGCTACCCTGCAAGAGTTTGGGCAATAACGATCTCCCAAGAGCCCTTCCAGCCCTCTCCCCAACTCACATCTTCCTCCTGGGACCTCAGGCAACACAGTCTCCAGGGGCCTGATCCAGCCTTTTCCCTCAGCGTTGTCTCTCCTTGGTTTTCTCCAGAGAGGAGGCTCCTGCTTGTGTCTGTGTGTGCCCTTGCTTACGTCTCCTCCAAGAACCTTGGCTTCCCTTCTCCAGCCAGGACCGAACTGGGCAGAGGTAGGATCAGGACACAAGTTACTTCCCACGTTGCCGTTTCCCACCAAGGACACCAGCCCTGGCTGTGTTACTCACCTTCCGCAGTGCCCCAGCCTGTGCGAAGGTCCCAGGCTTGATGTGTGTGTGACATGGCTCCAGCCTTTCCACAACCTTTTCTAGGGGCCTTTCCGTGCCCTCCCACAGCACTTCATGGAGGGTGCAGTTGGGACCCTTAACCTAACAACTAGTTGCTTTCCCTCCTCATTGGTTTAGGGAGCCGCAGGTGAGTGTACAAGCACACTCTTTGGGCCGTCCTACTGCCCGACAGAAAGAACTTCCCTATCTTTTCTGTGGGACTACAAGCCTTGCTGCCAAATCAAGAGGAAAACGTAAAAGAAATCAGCCAAGCATAGACACCTGTTGTTTTATTGAGAAAGAATATGTGGTTGTGTAAAACAAGAAGCTATTAAAGGTCCTTCCCTCTTCTGAGAGCAAGTATTGCTTACGTAAGGTGTATGTAATAGATATTGAGTAGTTAAAATACTCCATATGATCAGACTATTCAAACAAATAAATTCATGTTCATGTAACAACCTGGTCTGATTACAGACACCTCTGCTCACTGCAGGAGCATTGGACTAAATGACTTTTAAACATCCTGTGATCCTACAGTTGATCCTACAGTTCTAAATTCCACGATTAAAAAAAAAAAAAAAAATCAAGACTGATCAATGAAGGCACAGTTCTAGAAAAGACTAACTCTTGACTTGACAGAGCGCATCAGCATCCCCATATTACACCTTTAACTCAAAGACTAGTGAACTTTTCTAAAGTCTCTTTGAAGGACTTGATCAAATAAGTGCCCAGTTCATTGTTCGTCTCCTGAACAGCTGCATCGTAACTGCCAAAGAGGGGAGTTGAAGCTTTCACATCCTCCCTGTTTGCTTGGAGTAAAATGAGGTTAAGCTCCTCTGCTACACTTTCATATTTGTGGTGATCGAATCTGCAGAGGTTAGCATCATCGATGGGATAGGTGATGCCAGCTGGGTAGCAGTCCCTGGGGACTGGGAACTCCACCTTTTTCAGCCTTGGCAACTCACAGAGAAATGTGAAAAGGTGTTTAAGTGCTTGAGATGACAGGGGGTTTCCAAGAAACTTAAACTCCTGTAGTTTCTGGCACAGGCTTAAACCTAAAATCAACATGTTGACATGAGTGTCTTGGATGTTACAGTCCTCCAGGGTAAGACTCCTGAGCACTGAAGAGGAATGGCTGAGAAGCTTAAAGAATGTTGATGGGTAAAGGTCAGGTATATTGTGACCACTCAAGTCCAGGGCTTCCAAGTGATTAGCATGGATGCTGTTGGCTAAATACGCCATATCAGCTTGGTTCAAGGAGCAGTTGGAAACATCCAGCATCTTCAGGGGAGTTTTTAGTGGGCTGCAGAATTAGAGAGAAAAGAAAATAAATATGGTATAAACCACTGAAAAGTTAAATTTGCAAAATTCCACGCAGCTATCCACATTATGAATGCAGCCATCTGCCACATTTATTATTTTTTTCCTAAGTTCTTTTGAGAAACAGAAGCATGTACCAGCAAGGACAAGTTCCTGATTTCCTCCTGAAATCAGTCCCATGAATTAACTCCTGCTTTACATGACTCCCACTGCATTGTTTTAATAGGGATTAAATTAGTAAACATTCTGTGTGTCTATTTTGTAAGTACTTACATGTTGGCAGGTGTCTGTTATCCACTGAATTAATAGCAGATCATTACTACTGTAAAAGCATTGATTTCTGCTTCTTCTGGAAAGCTATTGCAATGCCAGAGATTTGGATCACTTACATTAAGGAAAGATTCTTTTTAAGATGAAAGCCATTCAATATTTTAACAAGACATTTGCTTTTCTTTCTAGTTTTGTTTCTATGATTTTTTTTAAGGTGCTCAAGAAGTTTACGTGTCTTACTGTTCTGGAGTTTCAAAGACTTTCTGTTGAAGAAAATTGGAAGATGTGTACCTGAGGTTACATGCAAATATTCTAGTTGAATATAAATTAGTTCTGACAGATGAGAATTAAGAGATCACTTTCATACATGCTAAATCTTAGTGAGAGTTCTGTCACAGACCTCAGCTAGATCAAGGTTGGAAACCTGTAATTTCTTTCTATCGGTATAAGCAGCATGTCATTCACAACTTCTAAATAAAATTATTTCTTCCTACAGAAAGAATTTTAGACTGCCATGTTCTGTCTCAATAAAACATTTGTCAGCTTTTTTCAGATGCTCTGAAAAGCACAGGGTTAACTTAATTTCTGTTCAGATGTGAACACCGTTACCTTTTTTGAGAATTGCCGGTTTTTCCCAACAGTTCACCATGAATATTCTATATTAGCTTAACTTGCAGTACAGAAAAGCATCAGATGTCTCTTTTCTTGAGATCAACAGACACAGCAAACAACTGAAATCAGTACCTCAATTCGAAGTCTACTATCCCTCTCACTCACCTGAAAATACACAGTCTGTGGAATCTTGGTATACTTATTGTCTGCTTTTTAGGGGAGAAAATATTCACTGGAGACCCTAAAAAATACTTAGAATATGACTCTAGTCCTGCACCAAAGGCCAGCCCAAGTTGGCTGCACTAAAAGCTCAAGAATGTCACAAATCCCAAATATCTGGGTGTACCCCTCTCTTACACCGTAAGAAAAAGTATATTCTCATCATACTCATCAGGTGGACTCCAGAAGACAAACAAGAACAGCCAGTTTTAAGCATATTTTAGATATCCATAGGCTTCCAATTTCTCCCAAGAAATGCTCTTTCCTAGATTCCTGCAGCCTCTTCTCATAGACCTCCCTCCCCCCGCCCCGATCTACTCATATTCCTTATTCTCTGAGATTCTGAGCTTGCTGGTGGCACCAACGGCTGTTGTCTACAGATTTACTGAAGACAGGATGACCAAATTACCTGAGCAGTTTGTGTATTCTTCCTGTGAGTATAGAAAAGGACACACTCAGCTCGGTCAGCTGCGTCATTTCACCCATCTTTCGTCCAATGCCAGCAAGCATCTGTTCATCTGTAGCTGTGAACCTCTGCACGTTAAATGTCCGTGCTGGCAAGGTCAAGGACATCAAGAGAGGGAAATGGATGCTGTTCAAAAGTATTTCCAAGTGTTCCATTTCCAAGCGGACGTTGTGGACTATTTCCAGCTTGCGCAACAAGGAAGGGTCAGTGAGCTTTATGATATAGAAGAATTTCTGCAAAGCCAGGCTGTCGGATCTGAACGCCACGCAGCGGATCTTCAGCGGGCAGTGGCATTTCTTCAGGAGGGCTTGCGCCACCAGCTCGTAGTTCCGCTCCGTAACGAACAAGTCAATTAGCACATCAACACTGATTTCAAAGGTACCTGGGTTGCACTGGGTTTGCTGTGGGTAAACCAGCAGTTCTAAACAAAGCTTGGAGAGCAGCTGTGTCCTGGCCCATCTGCCCATCGTCTTCTTACACTCACAAAACTGCACTTCGACATCTTTGATACCTGTCAGGTCGACCACTTAGGGAGAAGGACAGTTCAGCACATAGTCTCTCAGCCCTGTCAGACAGTTCTCCAAGCACACCAAGCATGTTCTATGGCTCAGGTCTTCCTGGTAGTCCGCAGTAGTTCCCAGAAGCTTTCCCATGTTCAAGTCAACAAGCGGCCAGTTCTCTACCAAGTCGTGAATCACTTCCCCTCGCTCTAGTAAATAGCTGGCTTTAAACAGAAGAGGAAAAAGATTATGGGCAACACCACCGAGACTCTTCCTGGCAAATTCCGCATTTGACACGAATGCTTCAGCACTAATGAATCTCAGAGACTTCATTGTTGCTCTCGACTCCTTGCTGTCATGGAGAGCGACTTCTGCATTTCACTAAAGATCCTAGTTGCTTAACACCTTCTATTTTTATCTGCAGCTGCTGTTTGCTGCTGATGGAAGCCTTGCTGGGAAGGCAGAATGAACAGTCACATGCTGATCCTCTGCTTTCTATTTTGGAGCTGTACTGAGATGCCGCAGTAATTAACTGGGCAGTGTTTAGTCAGGGAGCATTTCTTCATTTAAACATTCATATTTATAACAAAGCTAACTCAAGTAAGTACAAACCACTGCCCAGTAGGAACAGTAAGATCAGGGCAGGACACATACATGAAAATATCTCCGTCTTTCATACACCTTACTAAAAAAGCCCCCAGGGTTCCAACTAAAACATAACACGATCTGTATTCCGCGTTCTCAGTGAGGTCAGAGTCCACCATCCTCATACCAGGCTTGGACTTCTGCCAGGAGAAGTCTTACTGGAAGATATATCTCACCATTCCCAGGGGGGAAAAACAACATAGCATGGCAGAGCAGGGCTAATAAAATTACTTAAAGATAAATGTTGGCACTCATGTAATGAATTGCACCATGAATCAGTGTGGGATATAAACCATTTTGTTACTCAGTCAAATCACTCAGCAAAAATGGAACGGAAGGGAGAAATGTGAATCAGTAAATTATTTTTTAAAAAGAAAAAAGGCAATTGTGCTGATTGGGCTAATATTTCTAGTTTCTCCAAAATGGATTTTAAAAGATAGATTTTTTTTTTTTTTTTATAGAATGGCCTAGGCTGGAAGGGACCTTAGAGATCATTTTAACCCAACCTCCCTGTTGCCGGGGGCACCACCTCTCGACTAGATCAGGGGACCAAACGGGAATTGAACCCGCGACCTTGGCATTGTTAGCACCACACTCAGCTGACTGAGCTAACCGGCTCATTTACATTTTTAAATGTAAAATAACACTGTGTGGGATAGTATGCTAAAACCAAAAGCCTACTCACAAGCAGTTATGTCACCACTGCAACACAAAGCAAAACACAGCAATTTTGCAGGAAGAAATCAAAACACTGCAGGCAGGCAACTGACAATTTGAGTTACTCATCCTGTAGAGGTTAGGTGGACACCCACAGGATCTGGATCTTCAAGAGACCTCAGCATTAGTTTAATACTGCCATTTTTCAAATATGATAAAGAAGTACAAAATAAAAATTGACTGGATTTTTTTGCCAGTACTTAGAGGTGTAACATACTGCCTGCTGTGTTTTAATCCATGATTCTTCTCAGGGAGAAGAGGAGGCATACCCTGAGAAGAACATTTTGGAAGTAGCACTTGAAACACTCTCATTCAAAAGCATCTCTGTAGTAAGTTGTGACAACTCCAAATGGGCAGAAATACTAAAACAACTCACGGTTTGCTGAAGTTTAGGGCTGCCACTGACCTCTGACCAAGGCTCTCTGTGGTGCCCAGGGGAGGAGAACAGAGGAACTAGGGAGAGAGACTGGGCGGTTGGAAAAAGAAAACTTGAAATGTTTCGATGAAAAAGGAAATAACACTAACAACAATGAAGACATTAAACTACACAGGTATATATATATATATAAAAATAAGCAAATATATTAAAAAATACAAAAGATTACATTAATATCCAGCTTACACCTTACTGATGGCAACCAGTCCCCAAGCAGAAAAACAGCAGCACAGGGAAGAGATGGGGAACAGCTGATGACAAATCTCCCAGCCCAAGGGGCACTAAAAGCCCAAGGGCTCTTCTTAGGGTCCCTTTTATACTAAGCACCATGGGAAGGAATGACGTGATTGACCCATTTGGGTCACCTGACCCATCCTCTCCTCCCCGTAGGCACAGCTGTCCCCTGCCCCGTTGGCACTGCCATACAGCCCAGGTGTCTCTGTGTGTGTGTGTGTGAAGTGCTAGATCCTGCCATTTCTCTATCATTCCAGATTCTAACTTGATTTGACTTTGGTCACACAATCACAGAATTGTTGAGGCTGGAA